AAAACTGGACATTTACACAGGAGACATTTTCATAACGTAAGGCATTTTCAGAAAACTAGTGGACGTCAACAAATATTCGGACGGCTCTGGGGTCGGTGGGGGGAAAAGGACACAGAGATGGGGAAGGAGAACTGATTTAAAGACATTAGTAAATGGGCCTCACTGGGCTTTAGCCCAGCACTATGAAGCTGTCTGCAGCCACTGCAGCATGAGTTCGATCCCCGGCCAGGGAGCTGACCCACATGGTGCAGCAGACCGCTCCTGTCTTGCCCGCTGCTCCCCTCAGCCGTGTGTCCATAGATCTGCCTGTTCTGCCCCCACTCTGTCTCTGGTGAATCCTCTCACTGCACCCCCCATCTCCAGCCTGTATCCCGGCTCTATATGCGTAAATAAATAAATCTTAAAAACAAAAGAAGAAAGAAACAAGTGTGAAGGGGATCCAAGGGCTATATTTAGATGAGAAAAATAAAAATAAAACATTTTAGTTTTTAAACATTGACTCCTGCACCAAATCCAGCTTGCAGTCATGGGTCAACAAATTGTCTAAAAAAAAAAAAAAGTGTAAAAGCTGCACGTGTCCCACAAAACCAAAAATATTTCCTATCTGGCTTTTTACAGAAAAAGTTTGACGACCCTGCTCTATAGCAGAGGGCCGGGGAGGAGTCATTCTTGCTAGTCTGCACCCATTTTCTCTCTGCCTCCCCTGTACAACACCCTGTGGCCAAACCCAGGTCTTCTCGCTGGTGTTTTAGCTCCCTCTACTGGTCCAGGGATTTTCACCAGTGCGCTGAACAAGAGAAAGTTCTTACAAGTTCACCTTCACTTACTAATTGCTTGATTAAGTAGTACGATTTCCTGGGTCGTCTGTTGGAGCTCCAGGTAGATTCTCCATGTTTCATGGAATCTTGTTTTTCCACACACAACTCAGGGCTCGAAACCACTGGTGACCAGAGGCCAGCTGAAAGGGCTATCCTGGCCCAAAATGAAAGTGACACAAACATAGGGAAGGCCAACAGGAACGTCTGTACTTACTGGGAAATAAGAAATAATGGAGGGGTGGCCGAGGGGTTAAGTCTCAGGACTATTACTGGTCAGGCCTGAGTTCTATCCCCGGACCCTGAGGTGACCACATGGTGCAGCAGACCTCTCTTGTCTCCCCGCTGCTCCCCTCAGCAGTGTATTTCAGTCAGTCTGCCTGTCCTGCTCCCCACTCTGTCTCTGGAGAATCTGCTCACCCTCCGCATCTCTGGCCTGCACCCTAGTTTTCTATGCATAAATAAATAAATCATTTAGAAAGACAAATAATGGAGAGGTAAAAGCAAACAATGATTCAGTATTAAGGACATAACAGTAGGAAAAGTAAACAGTAGTGGAAGAGTGGTGTCTTCAACACCATAGGCCAATTTGAACTTCACCTTCTAGAATCATGGTAGCTTGAGCTAACACAGGCCCTGTTCCCATTATTAATGTATGAACAGGCAGGATATATATAATTTCTTCAAATGCATACTTGTTCCCAAACCCAAGGGGAAAACCCGCTTCCTAGAAACAAGATGGAACTGTACTCACAAAGATCATGCTTAGGAGGATGAGGTATGGGATTGGACCCAGATACAGGAACAAAGTCTAAGGGTTTGAGTCCTAATGATCAACTGGGATCCTGAAAGAAGTTTCCTTTCAGTGACTTGGAGCCCATAATACAGTAACCAGCAGCCTAGCAAATTACCAAGGAGACCTTATATTCTGCCCAGGGCCTGTGGAAAGTGCTGGAGCATAGGTTTTCATGAAAATTCAAAATCCCAACACTGCAACACTTATGGGTCTGGTGAAAGGATTCTCAAGCTGAGAAATGAAAGTCCTCTTAATGATGTATTTGTGGTGCTCAGCAGAAGACATTTGCAGCAGCAAGCCCTGGGGCAGATTCTCTGTTGACTCAGGATAAGGTAAAGGAGACACCTGGTGCCCTCAATGGCTTTTTATTAT